AGTGACTGGGTAAAGAAGTTGTGGTAAATTTATACAATGGAATACTACTCAGCCACAAAAAAGAATAAAATCGTGCCATTTGCAGCAACTTGGATGGATCTATAGAGATGATCATACTAAGTGAATTAAGTCAGACAGCAAAAGACAAATATCATATGGTATCACATGGGGAGTCTAAAAAAATGATACAGATGAACTTATTTATAAAACAGAAAGAGACTCATAGACAGAGAAAACAAACTTAATGGCTACCCAAGAGGAAAGCAGGGAGGGATAAATTGGGAGTTTGGGATTGATAGATACAAACTACATATACAGAATAAACGAGGTTCTACTGTACAGCACAAGGAAGTGCATTCAATAACTTGTAATAACCTTAAGTGAAAAAGTGCATAACTAAATCACTTTGCTGGACATCAGAAACTAACACAACATTGTAAATCCACTATATTTCAATTGAAAAAAAAAAAGACTCCACTTCCGAGCAGAGACTCCCACGGGCCACAGAGCAGCTCTTCTCAGGCAGGAAATCCCGTTTTAATCAGCAAGTCGGAAATGAGACAGACTCGGGAGGACAAACCTGAGGATGGACACGACCTGGGCTCCTGGGGAGGGAACGACTCCCCCACCCCACACCCCGAGGTTTACAATTCCAGGAGGAAGTCAGGAAGGTCGCAGGGAAGCTGAGAGCCACAGGTAGGGGTCTATGTCCCTGACATGCCTGCCAGGGTGGGGCAGTGGCAGGGACAGCAGGGCAGAGGGTGTCTGGGCCTGCAGGGATGCGATGGCCCAGGTGGTGAGTGTCCTTAAGTGCAGGGAAGTGGGGACAGCAGGAGGGGGACAGCGGGCTAGGGTGCCCACAGGTGGGTGGTGAGCAACCTGCCATTGGCCTGAGATTCCCAATTGGCAGCCGCGCAGAATCCCAGCAGGGAGACGGGTCCGGCTCGCAGCTACCTCCAGACAAGAGGCTTATCTGAAAGCTGTGTCTGCACATCAGGGGTGACTAGAGTCATTTTCCCTCTTGGGCAAGGGCAAGGGGAAGAACAAGGCACATGGGCTGATAAACTCTGGGCCCCCAGAACGCCCGCATCCACACCTGTCACTCCCTGCACCCCAGCACAGGGGCCCCAGAACCACCCAGCCTACCTCGGCCTCAGAGCCTCACCCAGGACCCCACTCCCCTGGGCTCTTCCCCCAGATCAGTCGGTTCTTTGAATGACCTCCATGTGGCTAAATCAAAGGTCAGTTCTCAGGCCTCATCTCACTGTCTCCTTGACATTCGACGTGGATGATGGCTCCCTCCTCCTTCTGAGACCCTCCGCGTGGCTTCGAGGACGCAGCGCCTTCTTGGTTCCCCTTCAGCCCGGCCAGGGCTTCTCAGGCTCCCTGGGCGTCCCGTCCATCTCCCAGACCTCCCAACACCCGCCTTCCCTGGGCCCAGTTCTTCACACCTCCTCCGCTCCCTCAAGATACAGCCAGGCTCACACCCGCCTCTAGCCTGGACCTCTCCCTTCAGTTCCAAACTTAAAGTCATTGTCCCTCTGCTCCTCTGCTCCAATGTCCAGTGACAACTCAAACATAACTTGCCCCGACCCCAATTCCAGTCTTCCCCTAGAAAACCTGCCCTCCGACAGCTATCCCCACCCCCCAGTAAATGGCAGCTTCATCCTTCCAATTGCTCAAGACAGACACCTTGGGGTCACCCTGACTCCCCTTTCCCGCCCAGCCCATCCATCAGCAAACTCTGATGGCCTCTAGCATCAGACTCCTTCCAGAATCTGACCACTGCCTCTCACCTCCACCACGCCCGTTGTGGTCCCAGCCACCAGCATCTTGCACCTGGATTAGGGTGACAGCTTCCTTGGTGGTCTCCCAGCTCCCACACTCTCCTCCATCCCTGCCCCACGCATTCTCTCAATTTAGCAGCCAAAAGTGACTGTTAGAAAACCAAAGATAGATGGTGATATTCCTCTGCTCAAAACCCTTCAATAACTTCCTAAGTCACCAAGGAAAAGGTAAAGTCCTTCCCCAATCCGATCTGGTAATGCAGGACCATCTCCCACTGTGCCCCCTCCCTCCACTGCAGCCGCCCTCCTGCCTCCGCACTTTGCATCTGCTGTTCCCTCTGCCTGGAATGTTCTATGGCCTCACGTCTGCTCCTCCTTTAGGTCTCTGCTCAAAATGTCACTTCCTCAGTGAGGCCTCCCCGGCCACCCTGTTTAACATCACAGCCTCCTCCCCAGTACTTTCTACACCCCCTCCTCAGTGTCACTTCTCTCCAGGGCACAGACACCACCTGACACATTTTACTTATCATCTGTTCCCTCTGCACCCACCGAAGTTAGAATGGGGACAGGTGTGTGTGGTCCTTTGTTCACCACAGTCTACCCAGCGCCCACCTGGAGATCCAGGTCCCGGCACATAGGAAGCTTTCAATATATTACGGAATGAATGGCACTCAGTTGCCACAGCAGGGATTGTTTATATCCCCTCCCTGAGACACAGAGAGGTTAAGACACTTACCAGATGTCATACAGCTAGTAAGTGGGGAAAGCACAGCTGGAACTCTGCTCTGTCTCCAAAGCTTTGCTCTTGGAGGTGGAGTCACCTGGCGGCTAAGAGTCTGACTTTGATGGCAGACAGACCTCTGTCTTGGCCCTGATGCAGGGAAGTTAAGCAACTTCCCTGAGCCTGGGATCCCTCACCTGCAGAATGAGGCAAACAGAGCAGCCACTGAGAGAGTGGCTGTGAGGATGAAATGAGCCGTGCCCCCAGAGCGCTTACGGTTATTATTACTCTGATCAATATCTGAAGTGAGCGCCTCCTCTGCTATGCGCAGCACGTCCTCCGCGCGCCTCGGGAGCCGTTTCCGACGCCCCCGGTCCTCCCCCGCTCTGTTGTCGGAGACCCGGGAGATGAGCTGTTGACTGATATGATAATTTCACTACAGTAGCGGAGTCAGTCATTTTCTCAGTGACGGATTTCACGGGCCCCATCCCATCTCCCGGGTCCCCTTCAGCTGAGCGATCTGCAGGTCTCAGGATCTAACAGACACGCAGAGCTCTCAGACGCCAACTCCCGCACGAAAGGGGGGACATCTTAAGACGAACATTCTGCCTCAAACCGTTTGGAACAAGGCAGGCTGCGACGACATAAGGAATCATCACAAAGCTGCCGCTGGAGGAACATTCAGACGCTTTCCGTGGACTTGTTACCACCCGTCCTCAGCGATTCTGCAAGGTGTCATCATCCCCATTTCAGAGATGAGGGAACCGAGGCCTGGAGGTGAAGGGATGCTTCTGGAAGACACACAGCGAGGCTTTGGCAGAACTGGACTTGATCCCGGCCTGCCAGACCCTAGACTCCAGGCTTGTTCATCGTCCCATTGTCCCAAGTGGCCTCTACTAACCCATCACCATCACAGGAAAAGTCTTGTCCGGTACTTGACTGATGGGATAAAGGTACCCCTGAGAGCCCCACCCAGACAGGGCATTCAGTAATTCACTTGAGCAATGGAAACAAAGACATGTACTCTATCCCATCTGTTCTCAGAGAGGAACTTCTCCCATGAAAGGTGGGCAGGACAGTGATGAGTCTCCCTTTGATACAAAATGGGAAACTGAGGCCCGGAGAAGATGGGTTCATCTGGAATGGAGGTAGCTGGTCAGTGTCCAGGACCAGGTTCCTCCAGACATGGCATCCCCCTCCTCCTCCCAGGGACCCACGCTGGACCACTTGTCCTCCAGGAATAAGCCAGTCCCTGCACAGGCTGCTGCTTCCCCCTAGAGGAGGCCCTTCCCCCTTTCCCTGCAGCACCCTTGACCTCCCCCTGGCCTCACCCACTGGCCTGATGCCTGCCCTCCCCTCCAGCTGGGCACTTCCTGCGGACAGGGACGGCCAATGCCTTGCTCACCTCTGTGGCCCCAGCAACCAGCATGGTGCCTGAGTGCAGCAGCAGCAGCATGAGGGGCGTGTGAAAGGAAGGAATGAGGGAATGACTCCTCCAGTGGACGAGGTCCCACCAGGCAGTCAGGACACGGCTGGAATGTCTTCTCCTTGGCGGCTCTTCCTCCTGGGTTCTGGGAGCTTCCCCGGAGCCGTGCAGCCAGTCTGGTTGAGAGGTTTGCCTCCCACCTCCGTCAAGCTCGGCTTCCCTCCTCCCTGCATTCTGGTGCTGCTACAGTTACGTACGGAAGGAGGACAGATGGGTGAGTGGACGGTGGGTGGACACACACTGGGACACATGACAGAGGTGGATGGGGGGGATACGGAGGAAACACTTCCCTTTTGGGTGGGGGGATTTGGGGTTTTTTCTGCAGGCAGCTCTAGAAAGCGAAGAATGGAGATTGAGCCAAGGCCCCAGGCAGCCCATTCACCAATCCCACCCCTCAGCCCGGGCTCTGCTCCCACCCCTGGGGACTCACCCCATCCTCCCTCAGACCCAGGGACCTCAGCCCCCTCCCTGCATCTCTCTGTTGCCCAGAGCAACGGCCTTGACTCCCATCCTCCACACCCCCATCTTCCACACCATGAAGCCCTGAAGCTTCATCTTGTCCCAGGCTTGCCCGGCAGGTGCCAAGGCCTTTGCCTCCACACCAGTCCAGAGCCCAGCCTTCTCTACAAAACGTACTCAGAAAAGAAGTTCCCAAGAGCCCTCTCCCCAGGCAGAAGAGAACTTTCTGGGATGATGGAAACAGTCACATGCGTGTTGTCCAATGCGGTCGGCACTCACCCGCAGGGCTCCGCCAGCTGCACTAGAAATGTGGCTGATGGGGCTGAGCAACTGAATCTGTGACTTTATTTCATTCTAATTAATTTAAAAATTGAAGAGCTACACGTGGCCAACGGTGACTGCACTGGACAGCACAGGTCTAGGGCCGGTCCTCGTGGTGTCTGGCCTCGATCCTTCCTGCTGCTTCCAGAACAACCCCTATCCAGTGACAGCTGCTCTGTCTCTACCGGTGTCACATCTCAAAACACAACCACCTTCAACCCAGTACTGATGTTATTCTTGCTTTTTATTCCAGCATCTCCCAGAGCTCCAATATGTACAGACTTCATTTATACACATATAATATACACCATATATACGTATTTATATATATTCACACACCAGCCCACACGCTCTCATACACTCACACGCACACGCCCTTCCAGGAGGGGCGGGCGGCCACCCCTGTGCCCCGACTGGGCCCCGACAAGAGGCATTGAGCTTGCCAGGCAGTTGTGAGGTTTTGTGTTTTTTGCTTTTAAAAAAGAAGGCCATTTCCTCCAGAGGTGTCCTCCCTTTCCCCAAACTCAAACCACTCTCCTAAACACTCTGAAATATTTTTTTTTTCTTAAAAAGGAAGAGGTTTTCCTCTGCTTCGCTCCGGTAGTACTGGAGATCCAGGCCCGTCCGCGTGGCCCGGTGCAGGTCCCTGGAGGGCGAGTCCATCCAGTGATCCCTGGGGCCCCTGGACCGCTGGAAGGGCCCACAGCAGGCTGAGAGCTGGCATGGCTGCTGCCGTGTGGCCTAGGTAGGGGCTATAGCATCAAGGGCACCTGCCAGATGAGGAGGGCACTGTCCGTCTCCCCGCAAGGGGCCGGCTTCCCGCTGCTGCCCGGGGCGCTGCCGAAGTTGCGGTAGCCCTGTCCTCCCGAGATGATGGCCACCGAGCAGATCTCCTTGCGGTGGGCGTCGCGGGCACAGGGCCGGCTGCGCACCCAGACGTCGGGGTCGTCGGCCATCTCGTAGATGGAGCCGTCCTCCTCGCTGTGCTCCAGGGCTGAGCCGTCCGTGGGCTCCGGCTCCCGCACGGAGAGCAGGGGGCCCGGGAGGTGGGCGGTGGAGCGCAGGCGGTACTGCAGAAGGACGCCCTTCTTGCGGGTCAGCTCTCGGCCCACGTGGCTGGCAGGCACAGGCGCTGGCTCGTGAGCCTGCCCGTCCGGCTTGTCCTCCTCGGCCCGCGGCCCCTCGGCCTCCTCCTGGTCGCTCCGCAGAATATCGGGGGCCAAGATGCTGGTGGCCACAGCCAGGAAGGCCACAGGCCCACAGTGACCGTTGAGCGAGACCATGCCTTTCCCTGTAGGAAGGGGACAGAGAGAAGGGGCCCAAAGGCCCAGAGCTTTACAGGATGCACCCAACAGAGAACTTTCTGCATTTTGCTTTGGGTTTTTTCTGGTTACTGCAATCTATGCTGGCAGCTTCCCAGACGGCCATGGGCCTGGGGAGGGCTCTCCACGCTCCAGGGCTACTTTCCTTGGAGGGGAGCCAGGAAACATGAGTGACTTTACAAACCACCTGGGAAACCTCAGTGTGAAAGCATCTGCAGCTCCCTGCCTGTGCCATGCTCATGCCTCCAAGCCTTTACCCAAACCATTGCCTTTGCCTAGAGAGTCTTTCCCAGCCACCTGATTCTACAACTCAGCCTTGAAGCCCAGCTCAGCTCCTCCACAGTGCAGCCTTCCTGCGTTCACCCATGGAGAGAGGATCACTCCCGTCTCTGCACCCCACAGACTCCAGGATACCTGTCAGCATCTAGGGGCAGGGTCTCTGCCCAACGCATCCCTGCCACCCCAGGACCGAGCCTGGGGTGAACAAACTGACCATTGTGATAAAGTCATGAAAATGGGAATCTCGCAATTTAGGAAGAGAGTCTTCTCTGGCAGAGAAGCTCGAGATCCACCTGGGCCTGGTCTCCCTCGGGGCTTTTCCCTCCTCTCCACTCACCCCTGCCCTCTGGCAGAAGCTAGAGGCTGCTTCACTCTCAGGGCAGAGGCAGAGAGGGGCCCAGAGCTCTGAGGTCTTCCCTGACCCCACCCTTGTTCTCCTGGACCCAAGTGCCACAGTCAGGGCAGCCCTTCCTCCAATCCATGTAAACACAGCTGCACACAGAACCCATCCCCAGGGCCCTCAGTCATTTCTGTCTCTGGAGCCTGGATACTTTGGAGCTGTTGTGGGGAGGGATCAGAAGGGGCCCAGCAGAGCCTCTGCCACTAGTCAGGTGTCTGGGTCAGTCTTCAAACCTACTGTGCCCATTGTCAGATTAGGTAATCGAGACTCAGAGTGAAGGTGGGAGACTGTGGGGTGGGGTGAGTTTATTCCACTGAGCCACAGCGCCACCTGCGACAACAGAGGACACTGGAGAATGGATCCCCCCCACCCCCATATCAGAAGAGAGGGCAAATATCTGGGCACAAGATCCACCCTTCCCTGCTTATCTGCAGCTGACTCTCCGGTCCCGTAAGACTGGCTCCTCAAGCCTCACCTGTGATCTTAGGGATGCCTTCCAGCCGAGGCACAGGCAGCAGGACGATGACACCCTGGTCGGTGCCCACCCAGAGCAGACCCTGGCAGATCAGGAGGCTGGTGACACACAGGTGCTTCTGGCCTGCAGAGAGAGAAGCCAGCATGAGCGGCACATCCTCTGGGGGGACGGCAGTGGGTTCCGGGGACCGCCTCAAGGTGAGGAGAGGGCTCCTTTCCCAAGACAAGCAAGAAGCTGGACGGGGTTGAGATTAAGACGTGGGGCTTGGGAGGCTGGCCTGGCTGGGACCTGGCCGCTGGGTCCCCTAGCTGAGCACTCCCCTGACCCAGCCTCAGTCTCCTCCTGTGTAAAGCAGGGCTGCCTTGAGGATGTAATGATGCAATACCACAGTGCCGGCCCATGTGAGCTCTCGATGCAGTGGCCAGGTAATCTGGCACAAAGTGGAGGCTAAGGGCTGTTCCACGCCAGCGACACAACCAGCCAGCCGGGAGTCAAGCCAGAGAGGCCTGGGAATGTGGCGGTGGAAGGTGAAGTAGACGTCGGTGCAGACGGGATGCATGGGGAGGGCTCCAGGGTGAGTTGGCAGTCTGCCGCCACCCTTGGATTCCAGCCCAGGCTTGACATCTTGGCCACATGGGCCTTGCCTCGGTGAGGGCGCAGCGCACCCTGCAGTCCCCAGGCCCAACAGTGAAACAGCCACTCAGTGCCAGAAACTGACGTCATGCTTCTGACGTCAGTCCAGACTAGTCCTTGTTCAGAGGTCCCCTGAGCTGTCTCTTCCTTCCAGCGACAACAGCGATGGTGGGGAGGGCGGGTCCCTCTGCCCTTTACAGGGAGGAAGCCAGGTGTGGGCTGCACAGCACAATGGCCGAGAGCTGGGCTCTGGGGCCAGGCGCTGGGTTCAAACTCCGAAACTGCCACTTCCTGGCTATGTGTCCTGGGGCCAGAACCTAAACCTTTCTGTGCCACAGTTCCCTCACTTGCAAAAGGCGGCAATGTTGATACTTCACAGCTTTGTCCTGAGGATTAAATGAGCCACTGATCATAAACCACGTAACCCAGTGCCTGGCACATGTCACACACACACGTAGGTGCTGTCTGCCATTGTCACTGTTGTTCTATTGCTAACAATTCCAGTCAATGGGAATGGGCTGAGGGAGGGGCTGGGAGCCCACTCTGCCCTTTCAAAGAGCTGTCTCGCTTCTGGTCTGAATTCTTCGGCCCCCTGAGAGGCTTATTCTCCCCCAAAGGAAATTCCAATTCATGTCACGTGACATGTGAAATGATGCTTAGAACAGGGGTTCGCAAGCTAGGCATGCATCAGCACCACCAGGATTGCTTACAACTGAGGGGCCAACCCCAGAGGTGAGGCCCCAAACTACATCACTAGCAAGTTCCCAAATGACACGCATGCTGCTGGTCCAGGGACTGCACTTTGAGAAATACTACTCTGCAGTTTCCAGGGCACTCGTACACCTGCTCCAGCTTGACGGAAGCTGTGCAACAGCTGAGAGGTGTGCAGGATGATGATGTGCCCATTTCCCAGATGGAGAAATTAAGGTCCAAAGAGATCACCCAGCTGATGAGTACAGAGGAAGGAGTAGAGCCCAGGTCCGCCACTTATTACAGTTCAGTACTCTGACTGCCTCGCTAGTCTGGAGCAAGTTACTTGAGCTCCATACCTGTAGGTATATGGGCTTCCTCTTGGAGCAAACAGTCTCAGAGCAGCATGGTGTGGCTCCACAGTCACTCCAGAAAGAGGGTTACTGTCTCAGGGTTCACATAGCATCCTCTAATGCACTGTGCTATACCATCACCCATTCACTCGCACCCTGGGACGTCCCCCGGACCTACTGTGTGCAGGACGCTGCACTCAGTGCTGGAGGCACAACGGGAACCACACACACAAAGTTCTGCTTTCGAGGAGCAAACACTCTAGAACTTTCTACAATCATGGAAATGTTCCCTACCATGCTGTCCAATTTGGTAGCCATTAGCCACCTGAAATATGGCTAGTGGGACTGAATGTGTCATTTCATATCACTTTCATTTCAACGGTAGCTACTGTATTAATGCAGCCCTGGGAAGGGAAAGAGGAAATGGAAACATACACCAGGAATATAAATACGAGGCAGAGGATTCAAACGGGGCGATGAGGCAGAGAGTGGGTGGAGGATTCCTGGATTGTGTGCCTTGCTCTGCTTCCTGGGAGGATGGGGAGGCAGGTGTGAGGAGGCGAGATCAGATGACAAGGAGGAGGCAGCCACCCCAGGACCTAAGCGAAAGCCCTGGAGGCACCAAGTGCAAGGGCCCTGTGATAAGAATGAGCTAGCAAGTCTGAGGAGGAGGACAGAAGCCAGTGCAGCTCAGGGAAGAGGGCCCTGCAAGATACGAGATGACTGGGGGGAGGAGGGTCAGAGAGTGGGCGGGCTGGGGCAGTGAGGGTGCTGCTCATTCCCAGCCTGATGAGAAGCCACTGGCAGATCTAAGCAGGGGAGTGACACACCTTAATTTTAGAGGAGCGTTTTAGCTGAAATGTAACGGAAGTGGGGGTGGGGGGAATGGGGCAAGGAGACCCAGGAGACAGAGATAGTGGCGTCTGAGATGTGGTGGTGGCAGGGAGATGGTGAGAAACCAACACGTTAGGCTGTTTCACAAACAGTATCTGGGTATCACAGAGCTGGGGCTCCCCACATCTGCATCAATTCAGACAGCGTAGGCTCCCTAGGAAGCCTCCAGTCCAGCGGTGGGTGCTCCCAGTCCTCGTGAAGTCAGAAAGTGCGGGAGGCTCTGGCTCTGCGCTCCCTCCCATCACCACCCCACCCCGTGCTCTCTCCTTGGCTCTGGTCACCGTCTGCAATTCCTCAACTTTTCCCTTCCTTCACTGTTTGCTTCCCCAAGTGTAAGCTTCCTGAGGGCAGCAGCTCATCTGTGTACTCAAAGATGATTCCCCAGGTCGTGGCTGAATACCCTGGCTCATGGGAGGCAGTCAGAAAGTACCTGTGAGCTGAGATACAGTGGTCACCAGCGGGGAGTGGGAAGGGGGAGGGGCACGACAGGTGGAGGGAATTAAGAGGCACAAACTATTATGTCTAAAGTAAATAAGCTACAAGGATATATTGTACAGAACAAGGAATAGAGCCAATATTTCATTGTAACTATAAAGGGAACATAACCTTTAAAAATTGTGAAACGTTGTGTTGTACACCTGAAACTTATATAATATTGTAAATCAAATATACCTCAGTACATTTGTTTAAAAAGTACCTGTGAGTAAATGAGTGAATGAATTAATGAATGAAAGCAGAGAAGTGAGTGAGGACGTGGGTGATGATGTCAGTTACCAGCTGCGTGAACTGACAAGCCACTTTCTCTACTGATCAGTGAGTATTGTAAACATCCCCTGCTTGGTTTTATGACCTGCTTGGTTATATGATTATTAGAAATAGTATATATGCACACAAGACACATATAAATATACATACACACACAGAGCATAATATACACACACAGCTGAGCACAGCTCTTAGCTCATAGTAAACAATCAATAAATGGAGGCTATTAGGACAATGTTTGTGATTATTAAAAGGACCGAGACTCGAATGTCCTTAAGATCAGCTCCACCAGAGCCATAAACCCACAAAAACAATAAAGCCAAGAGGGCAAAGCAGCAAACTTTTCATCTCACGTGCTTCACCTCCTCTTCCAAGGCGCTATGGGGCCTGAGAACCATTCCCTGATGCCCCTGCCTCCCCACGGCCCCCAGCGGACAGCAGAACCCTGGCAGAGGAAAGGTGGGCAGCGAGAAACCGAAAAGAGATGCCGGAATTGAGAAATGGCTTCATCTGCAGACCTCATTCCAGGGTCCTTCCTCCTCCCACTCTGCCTCGAGGAAAAGAGCGAGGCACTTCACAAACAGTCCGAAAGAAAAAAAAAAAGTCTAATGGTGTATAAATATTTAATCACAGAGACTTAATGCAGCAGTGTTCAACTCACCCAAGCCATCTATCTGGAGATATACAACTTTAAAAAGCTCCGGCTCTCGGAGAACATTTTATTAATGACCTGTCTAGTTAAAGAGGAGGAGGGAGTTTAGGTTCCAAAATGCATTAATACCAGTCGGGGACGCGAGTGGAGGAAAGGGGTCGGGGGAAGGAAGCGTGATGAATTTTTAACACGCCCTTAAGAAAAAAATCTACACTTAGAGGAGGAACAAATTTATTACTAATTACACAATTATTTCATTTGCTGGTGTGGAGGAAGAAAAAATACCTAAAATCCTTTTTAAAAGATCTCTAATAAAGAATTTAAGAATCCTGTTCTGTTGCTCTTCCGCCAGGGCACCGGGGCGGGGTGGACTTGAAGCCTCCCTCCACCTGGGGCTGGCTCTTGGGTCCAGGGCGTCCCGGTCCTGCAGGGCCCTGGATTGCCCAGTGTTGCATGTTGGGAAAGGTCAGGCCTGGGGGAAGGAGGCTCAAGGCTGTAACTCCTGGGGACCTGCGGGAAGCCCTTACCCAGGAACCTCAGCCTCTGCTCCGACGTGTCAAGGATCCAGCCCCAGAGAGGCCGGCTTCTGTCTGCTCCGATGGCGCTGATGTGGTGGGAGGGCCACTGACCTGGGGTTGGGGGGTTAGCGAGGAGCCCCGTGGGAGACACGTGGCTGACGGGGGCCAGTGCAGTGAGGGGCAGGGGTGGCCATGAAGATGATGATGGTGGACGACACCATCACGCACTGAGACTTACTCAAGCCAGGGACCACGGGGCGCTTTCCTCAGGTAAGGCCCACACCTGCCCTGAGAGGTGGGGGTGGAAGATGGGTCACAGAGCTGGAAGGCGGCAGAGCCAGGGTGGCAGCAGGGCCTGTCCGACTCCAGGCTCTGGTCTGGGCTACCAGCTCCGACTCAGATCTTGGGCCCTGGTTGTAGAGATGGGGGAACGGAGGCGGGGGAAGGAGGACGCTGCCTGGAAAGTCTGTGAGAGAGCCGTGATTTGGGTCCTGGCTCTGGCCTCCTTAGCAGAGTGACCGTAAGCCAGACCCTGAACCTCCTGAGTTTACCTGCTCTGAAAAAATCCTCGTGATAATTAAGAATGTCCTTTCCTCTTTAAAGGGTAAACTGCAGAGAACAAGTCAGCCAGCGGACGTGAGAACGCGTCTTAAATACACAGTGAGCCGGTGGGAGCTGCTGGTTCTCCACCTGCCGTTGGCTGGCTCTGTCAGCAAACCCTGCCTCCGACCGCCTGATAAACTTGATTCTTTCTCTACTCACCTCTACCCCCACAGACGGATTGAGAAGAAGAAAAAGGCCCATAAGATTTTCCATTTTTTCCAGTGTTTCAATAACTTGAAATAATTAAGCTATCAGCATAAATGTGGAAATATTTCTGTGATACAGAGAAATTTTTACTGTAGTTAAAATAGATTTACCTCATATAATGGCTAAATACTATGAGAGACAATGAAACTGAAGTGAAAAATAAAGGAGAGAGGGAGGAGGGAGGACCCACAACACAGGCCCCCCCAAGCCCCTGCCCACACCCCAGGGAGCATGTTAAGAAAGCCCCTCACACACGCCCCAGGCCTAGCCAAGGCATCTTCCCGTGCCTGGTGGCATTTACATCGAGCCAGGAACCACCTCCTGTCCCACAGAGGCTCTTTATCCACAGAGGCTCCAGGAGGCAAAGAGACCTGCCAGAGACCCCCGAGGGGCAGGGCCAGGACTCCAGCCGCCTCTGAAATCCTCTTTTCCCCTATTACATGCGGTGGGACTCCCTGCCCCGCCTCTGGCCCACTGTGTGACCACGGGCAAGCCACTCTGCCGGACAAACCTCAGCGTCTGCATCTGTAAAATCGGGACAGTGAGATCATGTACGTAAAGCCCTTGGGGCCCAGCTTGCTGTACGGCGCGTGGCAGGGTGGCAGCTACTAGACACCATCGCTACTACTGCTGATCCTGTTCTTAACCATCCCCCACTGTGGCCACCAGTCCAGACTCAAGGACTGGCTGGTTGTGACCAGTCAGGAAGAAGCCAGAGCCCAGATCTCTGGTGCCCTACGTAGAATTAGGGACCAGGTCTCTGGGGTAAGGGCCCCATGGCCTCTGAAGTGCTGGCTAACGTTCCTGCCCTTGGCCATGGCCCTGCCTCACAAGACAGGGAGATCAGACCCCTGGCTCAGCGCATGGCTGCCTCCAGCCTCTGCCCCGGCCCACCTGCGGAGTCCTGTGACAATCGGCTCCAGGCCCACTGAGTCACACCTGCTCTGTTTCCCTGGCCCTGGGGCCCTTTGGCTCCCCCAGCTGCTGCCCCCAGCCCTGTCTGCTGGGCTTGGACAGGACAGAGTCTGCATCCTCCCAGACCAGCCCTGCGTGAGTCTGTCTGGTGGCAGCTGGGCCAAGCGGGAGGCAAGTCGATGTCTGCTGGCCCTGAGGGCTGCTCTAAAGCCGGCCATGCTCCCAGAACGTGTCTGCCCTGGCTCCCTACAGCCCAGCCCAGCCTGCAGGGATGTGGGCAGCATCTCAGGCAGCAGATGGTAAGGGAGATGCCGGGAGCCAATTCCACCGAAGCCTCAGGCAGATACCAGGCGGGGGCAGGGTGCTAGGTGAGCTCAGATCTTAATCCTCTCCACTGCACCTCCAGACGTCTCTGCAAGCGGAAACACGGCCCCGCGGCAGTGACGTCCAAGGCCTTTGACCACCCTTTGTCCCCAAAGCCTGACTGGCAAACCAAGAGGGACACTGCCTTTGTTTAAAAAACCTCTAAGGAAAGACGCCCTTGGTTGGCCTTCTCTCTTTCCCTTTGCCTTATTCTGAAGGTGATTTGCGGCAGAATGGGGTTTTGGGTCAACCTGAGGAGTGGCAGGTGTAGACAGGCCTGGGTTTCTGCCCAGCATGGCTTTTTAGCAGCCTCCAGGCTTGAGGGAGTCCACTGAGCTCGGAGCCTGACTTCCCACGAACCCCAGCCGGCTGTGCTGCGGAGAGAGAGCACATGCTGCGACAGCCAGAAGGGCTTGGGAAGGACAGGCCCGGGTTCCAATCCCCAGCCTGCTGCTTCCCCTCACAGAGGCCCAGTATTCAAGGCTGACCGAGGGCTGCCCCGAGATGGGGTTTGTGAGATGGGCTGGCTGGGCCGTGCTAGATGCTCCACGAGTGTCGGCTCCCTCCCTCCCCCACAGCCCAGGACAGCAGGGCATGGTGCCCCCGAGCAGCCTCACCGGGCAGCAGGAAGGTGGTCCTGGTGGCGATGTTGATCTCCTGCAGGTGCTCCAGCGTCTCCGTGTGGAAGAGGCGGATGGAGGAGCCGGAGGAGAAGGCCATCCAGACGCCGCTGCCCGCCTTCACCATGTGTGTCACGCTCACGGCCTCGTCCTGGTGCGCCTCGAAGCTTTGCTGCGGCACAGAGAGGGGGCTGTCGGTGCTGGGCCGGGCCGGCCGAGCCCCTGGGGGCCAAGCTACCCTGGCTGCTTCCTGAACCTGAGGAACGGCTGGCAGACACCTCAGACGCCCGGCAGTGTGTGTGCATGAACGTTTAACAACCGCTGGGGGAATCCCGGTGTGTTGTGTCTGCCAATTCCCGTGGTGTAAATACTTCTAAACCCAGCTGAAGCTACCTATGTGACAGTGCTGAATGAAGAGCCAAGACAGACAAGGGCACGGCCGGGAGTTGAGAGGACCAGGCTCTGGCACGACACCATGATGCAAGGGAGAGACAGAGCTGAACGCCTGTGGAAGACGAAGCGGCAGCGTTCGCATATTATCTAAATGTTCAAAGGCACAAGGGTAGCGTGGGAGGGGGAGGTGGGCAGAATCTCATCTTCACAGCAGGGAGGCAGCTCACAGTGTCCAAAAACTGATGAGTCCAGAAACAGCAGAGCAGATAATTTAGAGTCACAAGGGAGGTGCCCGGTGGCTTAAAAACAGAACAGGTGAAAATATTTTCTTCCAGGAAGCAGGACTGGAGAAGGGGAGAGGAACCAGCCTTTCTGGATAAACCACAGTATGCTATTTGATTTTTCTTTTATAGGCATATATATAATTTTGATCTTGAAAAAAAAAAACTCTTATAAAGTGAGGTGATAAACAACAGGTTTCCCATCCACCTCAGGAGACAGTCTAGGTTCCTTATCTCAGCATTCCAGGCCCCAGCTCTGCCCCAACTCCCGCCTTTCCAGGCAGGCTTCCTACACTCAGGCCAACCAAAGCCGGGCCTGAAGGATGCTCCTGACACACTATGCGGCCATACCTCTGCCCCTGCGATGGCCTGCCTGCATCACCCAATGCCCTCCTGGGAGCAGGTTTTCCACAGCTGAAGAGTTGGCTTCCAGGAAGCCTGCCCCAGCTGCCCGTGCACCAGCCACTCCCTTCTGTTTGCCACACTGCAACCTGGCGAAGTCTACTCCACTCTGGCCCTGCTCAGCTGCCTCCCACACTGGACTATGAGCTCCGAGGACAGACACTGAGCCTCCAGCCCTTCAACAGCCCCCCTGCTCAGCACAGGGCCCAGCACACAGACAAATCGGGTCAAAGAGCAGACGGATGGATGCTTGAATTCCAGCTACAACTCTGAGTTGTTACTCAAACAGAGGCAACTCCAGCACGTCAAACTAGACAGATGCCCCACCTGGGGACAATCAGGTAACTCTGGTGTGTCCACCTGGTGGGCTGTCCTACACCTGTTCAAAATCATGTTTACAGAGACTGGTGAACATAGAAAAACGTGCATGTCATCACAGTAAATCCAAAAAGAAACAAAAATAAAAGGCCACATCCCAAACTGGAGGAAGGGGAGGGGCAGGAGAGGCAGGCCTGCACTGAGGATCATTCTCACGTGCTGCCTGGTGACCTTCCTCCTTTCCAGTTTTCTTTTTTCGAACAAAGAGTAATAAACCTTGGGTGCAAGCCCAAGACTGCAGGAGACGTTCGAGAGAACACGTATGCGGAATCAGACCTGCTGTTAAATCTCATTTCCTCAATTACTTCACGGGTCTGGGCCTCAGTTTCCCCCTTTATAGGCAGAGGCTGTCCTGAAGGCTACAAGGACCTGGGTGAGGGAGAGCTTAGCACAAACCCAACTCCTAATGTGGCCTGATTCGTTCAACAGATGTTCTTGAGTCCCTGCTACGTGCCTGGCATGGGTCTAGGTCCTGGGAATATAGTGATGAACAAGATAACAAAGTGGCCCACACAGTTAAAACAAATAAATTTGAGTCCCAATAACGTGGACGACTGCACAGGAAAAATACTGGGAGCCATTAAGATTGGGTGGCCAGGGAAAGTCTCTCTAGGAGGTAGCATTTTTCAGAGACATTAAAAATGTGAAGGAATGGACCCTGGGATATGGGGTAGGGGGGTAGGGGAGCATTCCTGGCAACGAGCACACCAAGTGCAAAGGTCCTGGGGCAGGAATGAACTTGCTGTGTTTGAGAAACAGAAAGGCGGTCAGTGTTGGGGAACAGGGTGGCACAACAGAGGTGAGAGAGGTGGCCAGGGCCCAGATCACACCGGAGAGCCTTGAAGTCCATGGTGAAGAGTTTATATTGTATTCAAGTGCAGGAAGGGGCTGAGTGGAGAATTCTGGGCCTTGCATGGGCTTAGCAAGTGAGCAGCGGCAATAAAGGGACCCTGTTTCTTTTCCTATAGTCTCTCCAGCCCTGGCTTCGGCCTCGGCCCCCCACTTCATCCTGGCTCAAATTACCAGATGTTTCCCACCAAAATAAAGAAGCTGGAGGCAGGGGGTCTCCATGGGGAGCCAAGCCAATGAACTCAGGGCTCATTCCCCATCAGGATGCGGGGCCCAGGAGGGCCAGATGGTGAGATGGCCAAGGAAATCGCTTTTTCTCAGCCCGTCCCTGAGGGCTGAGCTCTGCGGCCCAGGTTGGTGGCCATAGGGCTGGGGGGAACAGGAGAGTCGAGGATCCCAGAAGAGGAGCTCAAAGGGGGTCTCGTATCAGGCTGGGCACACTCAGAGGGCAGAGAGCTATTTCCTCCCTCAAACTGGGGGCTCAGACTAGGGCCTCCTGTGGGCGTGTCCTGCTGGCTTTGTGGGTTCCTCTTTCCTCAGCACCCCTCCCCTGCCCCCATGAAAGCCTGAGGAGCTGGAGGCTCAGCCAGGGAGCCCCTGGGACTTGTGGGGAGGCCCGGCCCCCTCACAGCCTCCACAAAGCCAGGCTCAGTCCATGCAGTGCAGGGCGAGGGTCAGAATTTCCACTTATCTGGTCTTCCACAGACCCAGCTTAGCGTTTGCAAGCACTGGATTGCAGTTCTCTTTTCTCGAGAGGAGTTCTCATTTGAGGACACACTTAAGGGGCGAGGGGAGGCAGGCAGTCAGTTTCCTGAACCAGCCTGCGCAGGAGACAGCATCCCTGAAGGCCCAGAGCCAGGCAGAGCACGTGTTTCAAACAGGACACCCCTGAGGGGCATGGATGGGAAAGCCCAGCTGAGGAGCCACCAGCCTCAATCACAGATGAGACACTAAGGTGGGATCCGAATCCCGCAGGGCCCATCGTCAACAAGCAGACTGATGAATGGCTGGGGAAGTGGGATGAAGGGGCACCAACATGCTCTGCCTGCAGACTTTTCCAAAAAAACAGCGTGCACATACTTGCACACAAATGCACAAACACACGCCCATGCCACACACACCAGCAGGAAGGCGTGTGCACGCTCACACGCATGCAGCAAGGCAGGCAAGACTCCCGCCTGGCTTCAGAGGGAAGGTCAGGAGCATTTCCTGACCAAAAAGGCCAAACCACACTGAAACCGAGAGGCCGGGCCCATGGAAAGCTGCACCTGAGTTTGCAGCCAGTCAGCCCCGTGTGCTGCTGTCAAAATCTAATTAAAAGGGAAGTCAGCAGTGGAAATCCAGGCTCATTTCTCCAGAGGCATAACAAGGCTGTCTCCAGGCCCAAGGGGCTTTGCCCAAGGCCTGTGCAAACCCGCCAGGCCCAGTGGGGAGGCATGTGGGGAGAGGGCAGGGACCAGTATGAGCAAGGGCAGCTCCAGGCCCCGCCTCTCACTCCTCATTATCTCCAGGCTCCCCCGGACCCCTCCCCACGCCAGGAGCCTGCTGGTGGAAGCCAGGTCCTAGGCACCCTGGCTGGGCCCTGCAGGCACGCCTGGCAGGAGCAGGTGGCATGCTGGCATTGTGGGTCCCCGAGGGGGCTGAGGGAGCTGGGCACGGCACCCCTGGGCGGCAGCAGGCGGCAGGGAGGCCCAGCCCTGGCTGTCACTGGGCTCACTGCGGACAAGCGTGCATCTCATTTTGTTTTCCAAACATGGGGTGTTCACTTGCCCAGAGAGAAACTCAGAATTCACTGCACGGGAAGGCAGTCTGCTCATCAAACTTTCCCTCCCTCCCAACCAGGACCAGTGCCCAACTGGAACCCCAATTCCAGGCCATGGCTCCCCATTTCTCCTCCCTGGACCCCTTCTCTAATCCCTGGCCAGGTCTTGGGGGCCGAGGAGTGAGGGACCACTGTATCATCTAAGAGGCTTCTATCCCCTTGTCCCTGAAGAAGGCCCCCTGCCCATCTGCACAACCCGCCCAGTCACGCCCCTCCTCTGGGCTCCAGAAGACCCCGTGCTTCCTGCCTACTCGGCCCCTACACGGTCCAGGCACAGCTACTCACTCGCTGCTTACCCTGCACCGTGAACTGCTCTGTTAGGGTAATATTCTGGAAAAGAGGTCTGCAAACAATGGCCCTCGGGCTACACCAGCCTGCCTGTTCGGTGTAAATCAAGTTTTATTGGAACATGGTCACACCCACATAGAAAAGAACCCATTCAAGTAGGTCAGGAACTCATCACTCTTGACTACACACCCTTGGTCCTTGTTTAAGGACAAAAAGATCCACAAAGAAATCCTGAACTTTACTTCGTACGCTTGGTGGTGGTGGTGGTGGTGGTGGTGGCGGCGGCGGCACCGGCACAGTGATTCTGCAACAGTGTGTGACGGAAGTATACTGCTGTTATTAGGAACCGTCAAGGGCAGAGTGAGAGAAGGTTAGGGTAGAGTTCTATGACCTTGGATTTGAATTAGAGGTATCAGTATGAACCTGAGATATTTTTTTTCCTGGTTCTGTCCACTGGAAGTGTCTGAAAGCAGTGACACCCGAGCAGTAATGAGCACACCACATCTTGATTTCTAAACACCATTCCCCACGAAATGAGCCAGCTGGGGCACCCTGGAGAAATGGCTGATTAGGGCAGGGGAAGTCCCAGATGAGCCTAGAACCTGTCCCGAGGCAGCAAAGCAAGGAAGTGCTCAAAGAAAGATGGGGAAGTGTCCAAAGGACCCAGGAGCCAGCACAAAGGGGCTCCTGTTGGCCAAATCTGAGGCAATTTGAGCATCAAAAATAATAATGGTGGTCCTAGACTACAGCACACTGGAT